GTATGTATGTATGTATGTATGTATGTATGTATGTATATATGTACATATATGTATATGTATGCAATCTTCGACAACAAGATTCGACACTTTATATGGATACCAGCTCGAATGTAGGAAAAATGGACTTTACCTCAATGCACCTACGGCAAAAGTAGTATGAATTGTGCGTGAACGGCTACTGTATAAGGTAATCATCTCCATCAATGAAGAAACTGCATCCACTACCATCAGAGGAAATTTTTTAGATTTCGAAGCCAGATGGAAATCACGCTCCGAAGATAATATTGTGACAGTCGAAAAAATCCTTTCCTGCACAACATTTTTGCTCCACAATCGACTGTCCAGTATGCTAGACAAACATTCTGAATCTGGAATGCTGGCATTGCTCTTCAATAGGCGAACTCGGGGTGATTCTGTACCTCTTCATAGCTTTATGCTATACCGTTTCCTTCGTACCAGTAACAATTGGACGCCCACCTCCACTTCTTTTAGAAGTATTTTATGAATTTGCCCACTTTCTGCTCTCCATTATTGGCGCGTTATTGGACAAAGTCTTGCGAGTTTCTCATCTCTAAAGGCGCAGAAACTTTAATAGGGTTTTTGAAGCGCTAGCCATCTCATATCTCCTCTCCACAGGTCATGCCTGCCTAATCTTGAATGTCTTTTCTAACTACTAGGTTGATGCATAATTATTGCGGATTTTTTTCGCGGCTTTTTTCTCTCGATAGAATTTGAATATTGAGTTCGGGTCTTTTCTAGAAATGACCTACTTCATTTCCTCTACAAGAATATACCCAAAAAACCATCCGCATGTTCTCGAAATTAGGCTTAACTTTTTTTTTTTTAACTTTTTTTTTATACGGATTAGATCCCATACCTTGGTTGGCTCTGGCTGATGATCGGTACTGAGGTTACTGAGTTGCGGAATGACTGTGCCACCTTCCAATCTTTCTCTTAACTAATTAGAGAAAGATTGGAAGGTGGCACAGTCATTCCGCAACTCAGTAACCTCAG